TGCTGCTGCTGCTGCTGCTGTTGCTGCTGCTGCTGTTAGGCTCGACGTGGTCTGCAACTCCTCCTGTCTGCTGCCAGAAGACAGACTCACCTTACAGGTACTTTGCTGCTGCTGCTGCTGCTGCTGCTGCTGCTGCTGCTGCTGCTGCTGGTGTTGCTTCTGTTGCTGCTGCTGGTTGTGCTGCAGCAGCTGCTGCTGCCTGCAGTATGCATGCGTTGGGGTGTACGTGCACCTGCTCAGGAATTGCTGCCGGGGGCACTGCTACTCGAAGGCCCGCTGAAGCAGCAGCAGCAGCAGCAGCAGCAGCAGCAGCAGCAGCAACAGCAGCAGCAGCAGCAGCAGCAGCAGGGGGACAGCGCCCTGCGAAGCCGCATAGCAGAGCTGCTGCAGACAGTGAAGCCTCTTGCTGCTGCTGCTGCTTCTCGGCTGCAGCAGCAGCAACAGCAGCAGCAGCAACCAACACGAGCAGAACTGCTGCAGGACGCCATGGGGGTTTACAATCTCCTACGCAGAAGAAGAGGGAATATAGACTGAGCCAGAACGAGGGTTTAGGGTTTAGGGTTTAGGGTTTAGGGTTTGGGGTTTAGGGTTTAGGGGGGAGGAAACGGGAGACAGCTGCAAACCCTTCCCTCAGCCAGATGCTGCTGCTGCTGCTGCTGATGCCGCTGCTGCTTGGTGCAGCAACGAGCAGCAACAGCAGCAGCAGTAGCAGCAACAGCAGCAGCAGCAGCAACAGCAACAGCAGCAGCAGCAGCAGAGTGTATCTGTGTCTCCCAAGGGGAACACAGCGCACCGCCCCGTCTGCTGCTGCTGCGTGTTATACACACAGATACAAGCGACAGCTAGCTACAGCTAGCTACGGCTTGCTACAGCTAGCCACAGCTAGCTACAGCTAGATGCAGCTAGCTGCAGCTAGCTACAGCTAGCTACCGCTACTTACAGCTAGCTATGGCTAGCTACAGCTAGCTATGGCTAGCTACAGCTAGCTATGGCTAGCTACAGCTAGCTGGGGCTAGTTACAGCTAGCTAGAGCCACGCTCAGCTACAGCTAGCTACAACTAGCTACAGCTAGCTACAGCTAGCAGCAGCTAGCTACAGGTAGCTACAGCTAGCTACGGCCACGCTCAGCTGCAGCTAGCAGCAGCTAGCCGCAGCTGGCCCCTAGCTAGCTACAACCACGTACAGCTAGCTGCAGCTAGCTATCCTTTTATTAGGTTTGTATTGTCTTTGCTGCTGCAGTTTTAATTCCTTTGGGGCGTGTGTATGCAGCAGCAGAGCAGCAACAGCAATGTAGCAGCAGCAGCAGCAGCAGCAACACAGAGCAGCAGCAGCAGCAAGAGCAGCAGCAGCAACAGCAGCAGCTGCTGCTAACACAAACAGTAGACTGCAACTGCTCATCATGCTGCTGCTGCGCAGCTGCAGCAGCAGTTACTCTAAACCCTAAACCCTAAACCCTAATAAACCCCCAAAAGACAAGCAGACACAGACAAGCAGCGTATGCTGCTGCTGCTGCTGCTGCTGCTGCTGCTGCTGCTGCTGTTGTTGTTTATTATGTGTTATTTAGTTTTGTTTAGTTTTGTCTTTGTTTGTTTTTTTTTATACTGCGAGGCAGCAAAAACCCTAAACCCTGCTGCTGCTGCAGCTCCTCTCTATAAACCCCACCCCACATACAAACCCTAAACCCTAAACCCTAAACCCTAAACCCTAAACCCTCAGACACGAGCTGCTGCTGGCTCTGCTCTTGTTGTGGTTTTCTTAGCTTCTGCTGCTGC